CTGCAGCGGCCCAGGGTTCGAATCCGACCTGCGGCCCTTTGCTGCATGTCATCCCCTCTCTCTGCCCCCCTTTCCTGTCTTCAGCTGTCACTATAATAAAAACCCCAAAAATATACTTAAAAAAAAAAACTATTTAGATTATTACACATCTGGTATTGATTGTGTATATGGTAAATTTTACTTCTAGATTCAAACCTCCTGCATTTGTCTGGGGCTGAAGAAATCTAGCATATTTTGAATCATCACCCACTTATTGATAGGCTACAGCCTCGAGGCCGGCACTGTGCATGTGTTCCACAGTGGGAAGCAGTGCAGGATTAAGACCAGACTGTTTCACATGAACTCCCAGTCAGCAGCATGTGTGTCAGTCAAGCACAGACTGTTAACCTTCTCCATATTACATAACACAACTACTTAGCCATAGCTTAGTGTATGCAGACAGTAAGAACACACGCAAGCTTTACACCCTCCCCATTTAAACCAAATCTTTATATGGGAAGCTGGGGAGGTCATAAGTTTAAGATAAATTATTTTTAATAATATTTATTATTTTGAATGAATATATTGCAGGATCATGGAAAAAAAAGCATTATTACACTAGCATCCTCTACATGTGTCGAGCGGCAGAGCCAGGAAGGGGCTACTAGAGCTCCATTCCTGAATGTTTTCTCAAGAGCCCTGAATCTTTTAGGATTTTACTTAGAAATTAAACTTTGTGTCATTTCCACTCAGTCTGTCTGACTGGAATGGAAAAACAATGGATCAAAAGTTATACTAGTAGAGAAATATTGCCATTTTTACTGTATTATGGGATGGATTGTAGCAGATCTGTCACTTTAATATTCATTATGTGAACTCTACTCCAGCATAGCTGAACAAAAATAGGTTTCAAGATTAGTCATTCTGTTTATGACTACCTATGTTATGTAACTTAAAAATTATAACGTCAGACAATTTTTGCCTCTTTTTAGGTCGTATGGGTGAAAATGAGTCATCCTCAACATTTGTTATATTCTGGTTTCAGAATGATGATGACAGCAACTATCATGTTTTTTCTAAGTACAGAGTTTTTTACGCTTTCTTTTATCTCATCTAGCTTGGAAAAGTGCACATAACTGGGGGTAGTATACCCCCCTAGGTTTGGGCTAAGCCATAAATTTTTACACTGTCTGACTCCGCCTCTGCATGTGTCCATATGGTTCTCCTAGAAAGTTTAAACATCTTCACAAACTGTCTTCCCTTTGACACCGCTCCTTGCCAAAGACTTAAAGTGGTCACATCTTTCCATAAAGTGTGCATTGGACACAGATGTTGTCGTGGCAGCATATCTTTAATGCTGCTTCAATGTGGGATAATAATTCATGTATGAATATGAGAAGCATTGCCAAACCATTAATGCTGATTAATTATGTTCACTTTTAGTCTTTTTGTCACCTTTTATATCCCTACATTTTCATGCGTTTGGTTGTGTGTATGTGTATGTATCTGTCCACAGCTGATCTCACATACTACTGGACCAGTCAGCCTCATTGCTTTTTGTGCACGTTTATGACTGCATGCTCGAAGACCTCTCATGGTTGCGGTGAATCTCGATTTTAATTCACACTCGTAGCCATGCATCATTAGGACTGAACTAAAAGCCTGCCAGGCTACTTAAATTCAAATTATATTCAGTCTAACCAGATCTTGTAGGCTTCCGCTCTGTTGCTGTAATGTGTGTCACTATGTCTAGTACCTGGGCCAATATGAGACTCTCTATCACCTCTGATCACATTGTGCATCATCTCAGGAGAAATGTGTCTTTTGAGGCAGAATACGGTGGCCGGGACCCGCCATTGCTGCAAATAAAAGAAACGCTGCAAACAAAAAGAAACGCCGCTGCAAATAAAAGAAACGCTGCAAACAAAAAGAAACGTCGCTGAAAATAAAATAAATATATATATATATATATAGACAGTCCCATACTTTAAAAGACAATGATAACTCAGTTTACTGATGAACAAACTTTGGAAAAATCTTGTTGACACTGATTTAACATTTTTTTCTTTTTTTGTCAGACTCTTGATATTTGAGTTTTTAAAGCTTGTATAAACAGCCGCCAATACACACACTGCAACATCTAATTGGCTCATGTGGAGCAGGTATATCAAATAAATATTGAAGGTTATCTGATATAACCTGACCCCCTAGTCTGGGTGAACGTGTCCTCTGAGGGAGAGCAAATGGACTCCTAATATCTGCTGATGTTAGAGTAGGATTGAACTAAACTCACCTTGTTTGCCAATCTTTAGCACTGCATCTGGGATCTCTGTCTGCTAAGGTGAATCAAAGCTGATTAAAGTCAAACAGGCAATCTGTGGACAAAATCACTGTCTCAAAACACACAGGCAGGGCTTTGAAAGAACCCTGACCTCTCTTTGATTGACAATAAAATACTACCTATAGGCACAATATCACTGCTGTTTATCAGTGGTGGAACAAGTACTCTGATATTTTACTTAAACATACTACAAGGTGTTTTTCTTAATTTAATACTGATGCCTATATGACCTACATAAATAACACAAAATGTAAAAAGTAGCAACAAAACAAACAAAAAAAAAACTATATATATATATATATATATATAAGTATTTCTTTTGGAAGCATATTTCAGATCAGTATATATTATTGTATTATAATTTGTTGATCACTTTATTTTTGCAGCTGGTAAAGGTGGAGTTTATGTTTTACTTTTATGCTAGGTAGCTTGTGAATTTCACCAAATGATCAATACAGTCTTATCTTTATCCATAACAATATATGATAATGTATTATTATATTTTGCATTTTAATCTGAATCTGCAAAGTAACTAAAACTTTAGAATAAATGCACTGGAGTATAAAGTAACCTACAGTAGTTCCTACTTGTTTAGTGGAGTAAAGTATTAAGTTGCAAGCAAATGGAAGTATCTCAAAATTGTAGTTAAGTACAGTACTT